AAAAAAAAAAACGACTAACGTCTAAATTAATAAGACTGTTAAGTCTTGACGGAACGGGACCGATTTGGCAACGAAAAATCAAAAAAGACCATAAATGTGGTGCTTGGGACCAAATGTGGGAAACAGAAAAAGTTTTGGGACCAAATTTGTAATTTTATCTGAATTCCTCGTTTTAGAAAAGGTGCAACCTTTATGAAAATTAGTAATCCCTCCTTTCACACAACATGCAGAGGTCGAGATAAGTAAGGGATCGCAGAAGTGATTTTGGCGTGCTTTCCTCTAAAGTAGCAAGAAAGGGCTCGCTTGGGTCTGTTTCTGCTGCTGCTGGCCCTTTGGGGGATGCAAATAGAAACCTTATTGTATGCAGCACCAGCATAGGCACAAATATGTTTCACGTGTTCAGTGGCTAGCTAGAGATCATTCCTGAAACACGCCAAATATTCTTGAAGACATAAAAAATAGTTGGTTGAAGTAGACACCTGATGCAGATGACAGACTCATTACTATAAAACTCCCGATATAGAAAACAATTTGTTCGGCAATGAACTTTGACACTGAGCATTGATTTCTGTGTACTGTGGGCAAGAACAAAGCCAATACTCAATGTTGTAACTTTACAAATATTGCAATTTTAACTTTGCATTTGCAGTTAAAATAGTTCAAGTATTATATTGTCAACATCCAACTCTTGCACAATGACACATGAGTACTATATATGATAAAACGAACAATATAATTTCATAAGCCCCTAGATGAATGAAGTTAAGAAAATAAATAAACTCAATCCATTCTGCTCAATTTCACCTTTATTAGTTTCAAAAATTTGAATACACCATAACTTCCGTTTCTTGTTTCGCGATTAAAAGAACTAAAACCATATATCATGAATATTCCAAGTCAACTACAGCGCCACCATTATTAATTGGTCATCCAATTCATTTCATGCCCAATTAGATGGAATGAATAAACAAACTAACCTTAAAATTACATGAACAATCGAAAATCACAAGTCCTACTGCTGCTTATACACATAATAATGCAACAGGTAAATCAACCCCTAAACCCTAAAATATTTCCCAAGCGACTTTTATCCTGGGTTTCACACAGCTACTTCCATCCACCATGTCATCAGGCCAACAAAAGGCTCTATAGCAGACAAGATTTTGCTGGTCACTCTAAGTTCCTGCAACCATATCATATCAGCAAAGGAGCATCATTAATTTTATGGGGTACGGAACTTCTTCATGCATGCACGGTGCACTTTGAGAGCTGTTTGAACAGGAAGAAAAAAAAAATAATAATTTGATTGTAAAAAGACGGTTTTAAGGCATACCCATCCTACGCTGGCAGAGGGATTCAAGTGTATATACAATAATGGGCAAGATTGCCTAAGGTATTCACATCCTTTGGTTTCCAATACAGCTGAAATTTAAGAGCCAAAAATTTGTGTTAGTAGAAAAAAAAAAGGAAAGGAAGCAGGTGCATTGTAAAACGAGAATGAGACCTAGTTAATACAGAGTTAATCCTTTAATTACCAAAAGGTACAACAATAGTTCAAAAATCAGATTCCAATTTTCTAAACAGGTATTCTCAGTGCAATTAAACAGGTAACCGAGGCCCGGAAAAGAACATCCTAACCAAATATGCAGTGTTGTCCATAATATCATATGAAACTTCACACACGGAAGAAATTTCTCAATTATCAAATAGAAACAGCCATTAAATTTTCAATACATGAAATATGCTGCGTAGACTTTCATAGTAAATGATGCTCAAAGACTTTTCAAAGCAAGATACCATCTCGATTTTCAGCTGCAAATTTAAGACAAGCAGCTTTCAGTTCTGTAGCGTGATAATGGTCTGCTAGATGCAACAAGTATGCAACTGATTCCACTGAAAGTTTACTCAGAATGCGTGATTCGCATAACTTCTTAAGTTTTTCCACTCTGAATTGATACGCAGCTGCAAGTACTTTCCCTATAAATGAATCCAGCACGAACGAACCAGCATAAGTGACAAATTCTTGATCATCTTCCTCAAGTATTCCTGTGTATATAAACTGGAGCATTGCCTACAAAACAAAAAAACAAAAATAATTATGGATGGTAGGGAGCTTAATGTAATAGCAAAACTTTCTGAAGACTCGAGGATCATTTACTAGGCAAACATGCAATGAGAAATGAATGACCAAGAAAATTGATTAAGACATTCTTCGGAGCTTTAGAAGGAAAATGATGGGTTTCAAAGTGGTTTGCAGCTAGCCATACATCTTAGTTCTAAAGTTCTCACTCATCCTGACCCCAATTGACATATAGTTCAGCTAAACTACAATAGCCTCTGCCACAAACTTGGGTATTGATTTCAGAACGAGTTGGAGGCAAAATATCAATTTGACAATCAAATACACCAATGAAACACCAAAGGATCGCAAATAAGGTGCATACATGACCTTGATCTTGATGGTTAATATAACAAAAACAATCCTTCATATTATGTAACAATAGTCGCATTAGTCAAATTTAGTAAATTATCACAAGCATTGTGCAACCTTGAATATTCTGGGCTCCACGTCATGAATAACGAACAACCCGTTGGAATAACGTTCAGGATGGGATAGATCCCATCCTAGCACGGAGGAGGAGGCAGCTAATACCCACCTATGCCCATAAACCTGCTCATTCCCGACTTGAAACAACACATTAGCGCGTCGATTCCTTTCCCACGGCTGGGCCCCATCATCCCTGATAAGAGGCAGATCTAGAGCCCGACCAGTAAAGACGGCAATCCTGCAACGAATCCTCACGCAGTCGTCTTTCAGATAATCGGGAGACTCCAGAACGGCTCGCCTGACGAAAAAATATTTCCCGACCGTATAGCCTTGTGCGGGAATGTTAATTCCTCCAGAGGAGGCGCCTCCGAAGAAAGAGAAACCCAAGTGATTGCCTTTACCTGACTGGTCCAAGAGGTACAGCTCGTACAGGAACCAAACAGAACCGCCGCTATTATATTTCAGGAACAGGGACGAGTACCCTGACCTGTGAGCTTTAAGCGAGTGCCCGCCGGGATACAGATGGAGTGTCCAGCGGCAGCGGCCGATGGTGAAATCGTTGCTCTCGATTGGTTTTCTGAAGCCGGAACTTCTGCGGCGGGAATAGTTTCTCAGCGCCCACTCGGTGGAGCCCTCCTGTATTGTTCGACTAAAACATTTCGATGCCACCGCCTTTTCCATGACTGTTGAATAGGTGAGGAGTTGGAGGCGGTAAACTCGACCAGAAGAAACTCCGAAGCAGGTGATTGTGGAGGATGACGAGGCGGATTTTGCTAGGGCCAAAGAGTTTCCGGCTAACAGCGATTGGTGCACAAATTTGAACAAATTCGTGTATTTATCTTATATATATATAGTGTAGCGTAGAATCCTATCGCAGTTGGTATTTGGTAACTTGGATTGGTAGGAAAGAATTTGTCTGGGCCCACCATTGCATCTGCCGACCACGTGGATTGGACTTTAGTTCATTCTTCTTCACTTGGAGACAATTTTTGGAAGGAAAAAGAGATTTTTTTTTTTTAATTGTGGGACCCATACAAATTTATAACTAGAACACATAGCTAGAAACGAAATCTAGTGGGAGGACATCTGAGAAAGAGTCTCAACACCACAATATACCCACGATAATATTACTAAAACTAATACCAATACTAATACTAATTCCCAACATGAGAATCTAGATCTCAAATAGATAATAAAAATAATAATAATAAAAACACATACAGAAACACCTAAAAACACACAAAAATCAGACAACACAAAATACCAAACAACACAAAATACTAGACTAAAGCTCTTCCCACGGCTAGACAACACACCAAGCAAGACCACAACGACGACACAAATGGTCGACCACCAAATTGGACCGGACCATGGTTTGGATTGCAAACCCCGAAATTGCAACACACCTAATCGGATCTGAAACCCTAACCCTTACCCTGCGCCCGAAAATCGACCCCAACCCCTCAGCCAGATGACAGCAGCAGATCCCCAAACACACCACCATCGCTCCAAGCCCAACCCACACCACGGCTCGGACTCGGGACGTCTGCCATCCTCTCCTCCCAAGCACTATAAGAGAAGAAGACTCAAGGAAAAACCGACCACCTCCATGTCAACACCAACACCAGGCTGCCGACACCACCACCCAACCCCGCAAAAGTATAGTGTTTGTCTCATTTTTGTTGCGTTTTTTGTGTTTATTTTATCTTTTTTCCACCGTTTTAGATTGTTTCTTTAGTTTTTAGTTCGTTTCGTGCTTTATTATGTGTTTTCCTTCATTTTGAGTCTTATGTGTTTTTCGTTTGTTTTTCCTGTTTTTTTATTTTGTGTTTTGTCGCTTTTAGTGTGTAGGTCGGGAGCTTTGGGAGAATTTTCTCTTCAGGGAAAATTGGTTTCGAGAGCATAGTTGAATAGATGAGTTCGTTAGCTACGCGTAGGAAAAAACAAAACTCAATTCTGAGTTCGGACGGGCTCAAACGAGGTCGAAACGTAAGATGGTGCAGTGCAGCCCAGGTCGCGACCTGCGACTGTGCCCGCGACCCGCGACCCGCGACCGCATTCCACGCCAGACTGTGCGCCCGGGGCCGCAGAAGGCCCGTGACCAGATTTTGCAATTTTCAATTTTTCTCGTTTTAGCTCTGTTTTTCGAGCACTATATATCAAAACGATCCTTAGACTCGTGGAAACAATCCCAATATTGTTTTTTCAATTTCTCCTTCTCCAAAACTCAGATTTAGATCGCTCTTGTATTCGAATATCGGACTTCTATTAATCATAAGTTTCTCTTTTCCTCTAATCCATGAACATGATAACTTTGATTGTTGAGATTGTTGATTTTGAATTCCATATGAGTAGCTAATTTGTTCGCTAGGGATAGGGGATGATGATGATGTTTAGAATTTAATTTTGATTTTCATGCTTGTTGATCGTTCAATTTATGCGAGTTGTACTTAACTAGGGTTTATAATTCTCATGCTTGAATGTTGAATATTATCGAAGAGTGACACTTCGATTTGTAATTGATTTTCAATTAAATATGATTCGTTCTTGTTTGATATGTTTAAATCCAACGAACTAGTAGATTAACAATCATCTAGGATAATTAATCAACTCTTAGAACCGAAAGGGAAGGAATTGATCAATCTAGGATCGCATGAAATAGACTTATTCGAAAACGTATTGTCTATATGTTGTGTGGTTTGTTTGATTTACCGTCTTTGTTATCCTCTTGTTACGAAGAGTTATTGAGGACTATCTCTAGATGTTAGGTTGTTTGAACCATTTAACTGAATGATCTTAGCTTGACATTTTCATTGGTTAGAAAATCACCATCCCCAACTCTCTAGCTTCTCCATTGTCACTTGATTCTTATTTCGGTCCATTTATGTTTTTGTATTATTTTATAGTTCTCAGTTGATAAAACCATTCATCTTGATTAGTATGTTTAGGCTTTATTCTACTTTTGTTTGTTATCAACACTGAATCTAAATTCCGAACTGTATTCCTTGAGAGCTCGACCCAAGAAATGGATCTTTTGATTCGGTACTCGGTAACAATAAAAATAATTTGCTACAACATATAGCAGCCCCTCTCACCTTGGTCATGGAATCAGGCGACCAACTCACTGAAAAGGCAAACATGGAGTCGCGAGATCCCGTCGGTACATCCAAACCGAGCTCCATCGAATGAGAAACTGGGCCTCAACACAAATAGGGGCCGAATCGGGTGGCCAGGGGCCGTCCTCTGTCAAGGTGCTCGGTGGTTCCACCGGGGAAGACAGATCTGAAGAAATTCGCGACGAGAAGAATATGGGGATTTTTTTTTGTGTTTTTTTTTCTTAGAGAGAGAAGTAGATTTGTTTGGTGATCATGATATTGCTTGTTAGAAAAAGAGAAACATGATACTTTCATTTACAATAGTCAGTAATCACTTTGTAACATGCATAACTGTAACTAAAACACTATAAGTTAACATGTGTCAATACAAAAAACATAACATATCCAGTATATTCCCAACAGGTTGGGGTCTGCGGGTTCAGTTGTACGCAGACCTTGCCCTTGTAAATTATACAAGGAGGTTGTTTTCGTAACGACCCAAGGTGCATTGCGTCGTTTGGTTTTTTCTTTTTCTAGAGACTTCACTAATAAAGAAGCACTAGAATTTAATTGAGCCATTTTTATTTAGTCTATTATTAGCACTATGCCAGGAAAATTGTCAACAATGACTTTTACAGCTCCATTTGCAATGGACAAAACATGTGTCAATATAATAGTATAATTTTAAATGAGGTAATGGGCATAGTACAATTTCATAATTTTATCATTACTAAGAATAAAGAGGTATAAATATATATTATTTAAGTATATATTAGTTGGGATGCATTTCGGTGAAAATGGTGCTCAGGGAAATAAAAAAAAAAAGTAAAAATAAATCTTAATCATCAGATGGA